AAAAAAAAAAAAAAAAAAAAAAAAAAAAAAAAAAAAAAAAAAAAAAAAAAAAAAAAAAAAAAAAAAGAAGCATAAAATGACAGAGAAAGTATGAAAACTTGTGAGAACTTCTTTCAGACAGTAAGGAAGAAGTCTCAGGGAGGGGCAATGTGAGTAGCCCCTCCTGAGGACAACTGCTCATAATTTGTTCAGCTTTACCTCTAGTGGACCCTGAGGCAAGCTAAAGAGTTGGTAGGGTGAAGGGGGAAAAACGGTTGAACCATCTGCTTGTCGTTCCCCATCTGTATAGTAAGATTTAAATTCTGACCCATATAAACTCTGCTCCTGCTTCTCACTGACCACAGAAATATGCTCTTAGTCCCAGGCCAAACCAGACTGGAGATACATTATGATCTAATCCACCTTACTACTTTTTGGTTTGCTGTACTAATAACCCAAGTGAAAGCAAATAGGAGAAAAATCCTACCAAAACTTATAATAAAAGGAACTTTAAAAATGGATAAAAGGATACATTTTTCTATAAGCATCCCAAGTAGAATAACTGGGTTTTTTTAATCCATTAGTGGTTGTATTCTCATTACATGATCTTCGGAAAGTCTAATAATTACAATAAAAAAAACCAAAACAAAATATTGCCACCGATGAAAAACCTGTTCAGTTAAAAACTGCAAAGCCAAGTAAACAGCAATTTATATAATTCTCTCAGTCCTACAAACCTGAAATTTTCAACACTTCTTTGGAAAAAATTGAGAATACAGTAGATTTTTCTGCATAACTCTAGTTAAATGATATTTTTAAGAAAAACGAGGCATACTATTGAAACCAAAATACATAGAATCAGGTTTCTATGCTACTGTTTACCAAAAAGTTATTTTCTAAAAAATTATTTAAATGCAAACTTTTACATCTCCAACATGTTTTACATATTTCAGATAACAAAAGAATACACATACATTGTATGTGATAATTTTTCAAAACTAGTCATTACATTTTCACAGATTAAAAAAAAGTCTGCTTAAATATTTCATTTCTACAAAGTGAATTTACATTTTTAAGTACAAAGTGCAAATACTACAGTTGTTTTTATTGCCTTTTGGTGAGGAAATCTCCCACATGTCAAAGAGATCTGCCTTGGATCAGTGAGGTGTTCACCCTTGCTTCTTAGAAACCTGCTGAAAGGAAGTTGGAAAAATGTGTGTCATTAATGATATTTTCAATTAATACAGTTTAAATATCTATCTCTATTTCTCAAGAGTGTCCACATGCCACTATCAGAAGCCACTATCAGAAGGCGAGTTCTGCACAAATATATATGGGGAATTAAAAAAGCCACTTCCCTTTATGGCATATACAAGCAAGGCTATGAGCAATGTCTTTACTATTTCTTACCTATAGTCCCTTTAAATCTATTGCTGTTAAACACACAGTTTTAACAAGTGCCTGGGCAAGTCCCTGGTGCAATATACCTTTCTATAGCATGTAATGTATAAAGAATGGGCTGCTGGCCAAAGTCTCATGAACAACAACGTATAGTTTTGTTGTAAACTTTTTGCTAGGCTGCAAAACACCCTCTGGGTCTCACCGACAGCGTGTGTGCACGTATGTGTATGCTGGACAGGGTGGAGCTGAGCAAGGGAAATATACCTGGCCACTACCTAACTTCTGTCAGACCCATCATGTATTTGACCTCTTTTAGAACAATCCCAGCTGAGATTCAGTTAGCATATTAGTATATGTTTCTCTATCTGCTTCCAGTAAGCTCGTATGTGCCTGTACACTCACAGACGTGGACATATGTGGAAAAGCGTATTCAGGAATACACATCTAAGCACACATAAGCATATATATATATATACATATATATATATATATATAACTAAACAGAAGCAATAAACTAGTAGAAAATGAGCTTTTGAGTGTGTGTCTCCAGAGTGGTGCAAATCTGATCACGCCCTCAGATGGGTGGTTTCCTCTGAGTGGCTCCTATGCTCTTCAATAACTTTTTTTTCAAATGAGAATTTCTCTGATGAAAACTACCTTCTGAATTTGCAGTCATGTATTGTTCAAGTATGAAACTGGCAACAGATGGTTTGCTTAGCCAGCCTTAATTTAAGGCTATCATTTGTCAGCAACAGCTCTTAAAACAATTGATGCTGAGTCAGCAAAATTATTGGACAAAATTAAAAACCATAGCTGTTTTAAGGTTTTATTACAGATTCTGCAATTCAGGATCAGATTACAAGAAAGGGGAGAGGGCTTGTCATGCTTCAAGTGAAATGCACGTGTGCCAGTAATACAATTAAAATAAGCCCTTTGAATGTTTTTCAGTTCCGACAGGATAATAGTTTTCAGGCTGCCTTGTTTAAAGGCATAAGTAATTTGTGGGGAAAGCTGGAAAAATTAGTACCACAAACATTTGTTTAAACAAACAGAAACTTATCACATCCTTGTAGCTGTGAGAATATTTTATATTCCATCAAAGTTTTGTAGGAGGTCTCTGGTAAAACCCACAACTAATGTTGGGCTTGCCTTAGGAAGTGTGAACCTAACATCAAACAAATGAGATTAAAAAAAGAAACAATATGATGAACAATGGTGAGAGGAAGATTTCTCTTGTCTTGTGGGGAGATTCACCTTGGGTTCAATTTCTAACGAACTAATCTGCCTTTATGATAGATGGGACAACATTTACTACAACTATGGTTTTGGGATATTTTTATCCAAGTTCCTATTTTCATGGGTGCAGGATTACCTAAGCTGTTTTTATAATATATTTACATG